TTCTTCTAGAATTTTTCATACCATCGATCATTACGGTATTTAGTATTTCCATCTATGGAAATATCCCTGACTGTATTGATAATCAAAACAACCATATAAAAAAAATCAATTAAATTTTTAATTAAAGGTGCTCAATCTTTCTATATTTTAAAAAGTCCTAGTTTCCAAGATTTCATCCATTCTCTTAATCCACATTTCAAAATTCCATGCATAGATAGATGTAAATTAAAGAATCTCCATTCATCATATATGATCATTCAATCAATGAACAAATTTAAATAACTGTCAGTATGCTTCATTGACTACTGATTTTTGGACTTCAACTAATCAAAAGGGGTTTTATGGGAACAACATGTGCATGGATATCAGAAAATTTTGAGCCAAAACACTTTCGAATTAGAATATTGTAACACTTTTGAATACTTTCAAATTAATATTAACACTTTCAGATATTATAATATTGTAATTATAGTGTTAATATATATATACTTTATTTTTTTTAATTAATGTAACAACATTTCATGTAATTAAATATATAAATTTGTTTCCATAAATCATTACATATTATAATGTAAATTATTACACAGATATTTGAAAGTGTTATGATATTCAAGAGTGTTACAATATTTGAATATATATAAAAATTATTTGACACCAATTTCGAAGTAGGGTCCATGTAAAAATAAATTTGTTTTAACAAATAAAATTATTATATAATAGTCCTTGATAAACCCAAAATTGTGATAATTCCAATTTCTAAATTTTAAATTAACAGTTGCCACTATCACAACTGATTTTGATAATTAACTATTTCTCTTGTGCAAAATAAAAATAATTATTTTAAAAAAAATGGAAATTCCAAAAAGTAGGAAACAAAACAATGGACCATGTGTTATTTGTGGAGTAAGAGATCCTGAGATAAAATATTGAAAATTTACAGAAGATGCTAAAGAAAAAGCTTTAAGGAACAATAATTTAGATCTAACCTGGGAGTTAAATATTACTCAGTTTTGTCAAGTACATTATATGAGCCATATCATGAATGAGTACAAAAAAAATGATGGTGATATAGAGGATGTAGACATGATCATTGATGATATAGAAGATGTAGATGTGATTGGTGAACATACATTTAAGGATACATTGAATCCCTATAAAAAATTGCACATGGAAAAGATGTGGAAAAGATGTGGAAAAGTGTGTTTAATTTCAGATACGGAATCTTCCTGTCAAATGCGCTGAAATGTGCGGAATATGTGCTTATAAGGAATTCGTACGGAAATTTCAATAAAGGTATTAATAATAATATTAGCATAGTATTAATATTAGAATTAGTATTAGTAGTCGACTATTAGTTGTTCGAAAAAAAGTTTAGTCGACTATTTTAGTCTATTCCATCCTCTAGAAAAACCCCCATCAAAAATCTGTTATGACAAACATTTTTAATTATAATTATAATTAATAAAACAAGGGGCCAATATTTAATCCGTTGTAACAAGAAATCCGCTGTGACGAGGTTTGACTGTATTTGACAATAGTATTAATAATATATTAATATAAAAAAATCATATAAATTAGTTTTGATTTTTTTAGAACGTTGCACACCCCAAACACCAACGCCCCGAAATGAACAAATCAATGGCCAAAATGACCAAACACCAAACGCACACTCAACTCAACAAACAAACGCGTCATCATAGATGCAATTTTCAATGATTCAACAAACAATTGATAGATTATTTATCCAAATATTTGCGAGTAACAACCTTTCCTAGGTTTCTAATAGTTGTCCAAATGTTTGCGAGTAACAAAATTTCCCAAGTTTCTAATAGTTGTCCAAATGTCTGCGAGTAACAAAATTTTCCAAGTTTCTAAAATAAATTAATAAACCAACAATTGATAGATTATTTATCAATTTTTAAAACGATAAACAAAACAAGATCATTTTTCCAAAGATTCATAATAAAGTCAATTAGATTATAAAAAATTTAAAGCATTTAAATCATTGAAAGAAAAATGAAAATTATTAGATAATGAAAAACTAATATAACTATATATTACAACAAATAATTTTAATTTCCGCGTGTATTATTATTCATTTATTCATTTATTTTAGTATTTTAGATTTAAATTAATTTATTATTACTAATTAACTATAATTCACATCTTTTTCGCCAACCTTCATCTCGTTTCTCCATTTCTTGCCTTTAAAATAAACCACTATTATAAATATTATAGAGAAAGCATTCATGGAAGAAACTAGAGTGTAAGTCCATCCTATACCAATCGTTTCATCTATTTTTACAGATAATGCTACCATTATTCCAGCATAAACATATCTTAAACAACTACACGTTGCTATAGCTGATGAACTATATTTTGGATTTACATCTACTAAATATGTGGATGTTGGATTTTGTGCCATCAAAGTTGTAAATCCTCCTATATAAAAAAAGATAAAAATTTATTATAATTTTCAAAATTTCAAAATTTCAAAAAAGGAAAAAGAACATACCAATAAACAGACTAATAATAGGTAATGAGATATGGGCATTGTAATTTAAAAGCCAACCATAAGAAATGTAAGCAATAGGTATAATAAATGCACCTATCCAAGTGCTTTGTAATCTTGTTTCAGGCTCGTCAACATCATTGTCAACATCATCCTCAACATCATCATCAACAGCAACACCATCAACAACATGCTTTCTTTTCTTTTCCCCTCTACGTAATATAAAATCAGAATATCTACCACTAAATAGACTTCCTAACAAGTAACCAATTGTTGGTGACAGGTATATTAAGCCAATATCAAATGAATTTATATGTTCATATTTTTCAACAAAATTTCTTGATAACATGATATCTTGTACATAAGATACAGCTGTCAGAGTAACTAAATACAAAATTATTAATGTTACATGTGGTAGACGCAATAATATTAAAGGTTTAAATGGATTGAAAATTTTCTTGTGAGGTGTTGTTGTTATTTTTGTTGTAGGTGGCAATGTGGAAGAAGATTTTTCTACTGTTGCTGCTGCTGCTGATAATGATGGTGATGATGATGATGATGATGGTAATGGTGATGATGATGATGGTGACGATGGTGGTGGTAATGATGATGATGGAATTGATGGAAAAGTTTCTTCTAAACAGAAGAATACTAGAATCAATAAGAAACTACTAAATATTGAAGTAAACCAAAATATCCAATGCCAACCAAGATATTCAGTCACAAAACCTCCCACCACTGGACCAGTTATTTGCCCAACTATATAACCTGAATAAAAAAATCCATACCCAGTTCCTCTTTCTGAAAAAAAAAATAAAAATAAAAATAAAAAACTGGAAATCAATGACTTTGATAAACATAAAAAATCAATTAGTGCTATTATTGTTATTATTAAATAAAATAATAATGACCAGTTGGAATAAAAATATCACTGATGATGCCAGCTCCAACACATTGATCAGCTGAAGTACCCAAAGCTTGAAATACTCGCATTAAACATAATAACCAAATGCTATTGGAAACAGCAGAGATTATGCTTGCAATTAAATATACTAAAAAAGAACCCAAAAACATCTTACGCCTAGTCTTAAATATATCTGAATATGATGCCCATCCAAGTTGCTAATATGTGTATATGATTATAAATATTATTATTATATTTGTAATAGAACAACAACACGAATAAGATATTTACCCCAATTCCAAAGAACATAAGATATATTGCAACTAGATTAAATTATATTTATTAGTATAAAAAATAATAATGGTAATAATAATAATAATAATAAAGAAAGATTCCACAAACTTAGAAAATTTGTAAGAAATTCAGTGGTTTCTAAATCATTTTGGATGCTTATTAAGGCAGGATACAATATTCTATAAAATATCAACCAATCAATTAATCAATTATTAATGATAATAGAAGCAGCGATAGTATATAATACTTACGATCCACCCATGCCAATTAATATACTTGCAAATGCAATAATTAATAAAACATGAAGTTTCTTTTTTTTTGGCCAATTTTTTGGATCATTAACAATAATTGGTAGTGATGACGAAGGTGATTTATTTATTGAATTAGGTATAATAATATTTACAGATTCTTTAGATAATACTTCATCTTTACAATTACTGTTATTATTAATATTAATATTATTAATATTATTACTACTGCTACTAATGCTGTTGTCGTTGTTGTTAATATTTGTAGATTCCATAATTTATTTTTTATAGAAAAGGAAAAAATAAATACTGATTATGTGTCGTAATAAATATCTCAATTAAAAATCTTTGTTGTTTTATACTTACAGTTTTTTAATCTCAAATTTTATAATCAAAATACAATACATGCTAATCTAGTTTTAGGTAAAAAACGCATTGTGATAATTGTGATAATTCAAAATAAATTGTGACAACTAAAAAATTAGGTTAATATTAATATATTTTATGATATCATCTATGGCGAAAAATTTAAAAATAATTTACAATTATGATGTAATTGGACAGTTTATTACTGATTATGTGAATTTGGAGACGTGCCATTTATAGTAACCCTGATTTTTTTTCGCGCATAGTATAGTGTGCATAGTTTATATAATAATTTAATCAATTATACTTTATTATTAAGTAGTAGAGAGCCTTTTTTCTTTGAGGTAATTTGGATGGTGGACATAACTTTTAAAAAGTTGTATAATCGGTCCAAGTTCAGTAAGTGAAATAGGAGATCCACAAAGAAATATAGCTTGAATGTTAAAGCCCTTCCCGTTCAGTGGTAATTAGTTACTCTGCCTAAGAAATTATTGATATTGCTATTTGGGATCAGTATTCAAAACTTTGACCAAAATACTCTTGTAAAATAATAATATCTCCATTTAAACATACTTTAAAATGTTTTCATATCGTTTTACTGATATAACACTCAAAGTCACATGCATTACATTTTTGCTCTGAAGAAACTCCAGCCTTTGGCACTTTTTGTCATTTGTAATAAAAAATAATAATAACAAAAGTAGAATATATGTATGCTTAACAATTAGCAATTGTTGTAAACTTTCTAAGTACAATGAGTGACCCAGAGCAAAGCTCCGAACGGTCCAGTTCGATTTTTCGGTTTACATTTGACCCAAAAATTTCATTCTAAATTCGTCAACTACACAAAGATACACATAATAAATTCACAAAAAAATTACAATAACTTGTTAGCTTGGTTTTGGCAAATGTGTTTCAAAGTAGAGATGCTGGAAGGATCCTGTTTCTAAATACGTACATAGTCTATAATTTTTATACCGTGGTAGCGAAGGTCCATTTCTTACCAAAGTTAGAATGGAGACCATGATTGAATTTTATACATAATGCCATGTTTAGATACAGCTGGTCAGTTATAGGTCTGATCGTTACATATTAGGTGTACACAAAAATTTGTACGCATGGTATTAGTATTAAAGTTTTTATTCGTAATACATATTCTTATTCGAATTAATATTATTCGTTTTATTCGACTGAGATTTCAATATAATTCGAATACTCAAATTCATAACGAATGAAACAAATAATTCGAACAAACCTTATTCGAATAGAAACCCTAACACTAAGGACGTTCTATAGTTGGCTCGGTCTAAAGACCTCCTAAATTTTGGACAAATTTTAAAAGTATAGAAGTCACTTTCTGTCCTACATTTTAAAAAAATAATGTTATTAGTTGATATAATAGGTCTTTAGTTTTAATGTAATAACGAGATATTTTCAAATAAATTATTTGTTGAGAGTTCTATTCTTTTTTAAAACATGTACTTTACTATGCTCACGAGGAATTTGTCTGCCAAAATCACCTCTAAATTTAGACTAGCTCTCGACTACCGTATCTAAATTTGGAAGTAAGAAATAAAATCACGTGGTCTTTTTTTTATTACATTTTCGACGCAGCAATAGGAGGTATTTAGACCGAGCCCACCATATTTTTTCAATTAGTATATAAAATCCATCATCTCTGCAAACTTTTCAAACTCTCTTTTAGTAATTAAGTCTGTGCCTCTGGAAAAATCTCGTTCAACCAGGGTACTGGTTGCTATAATAAATTTATTAGATTAGAAATTAATAAATTTAATTCTAAATAAGCAGAGTGCAAAAATTAGAATACCAGAGACTGACAAGTAGTTTTTAGCCCAAAGCTCTGACAACTTTGGTTCGTTTTCAGTTTGGTTTAAAGAGTAAACAGAAACCGAACTGAAATTCTTAGGCTTGAACCAAACTGTTCGGATCTTTAACCTAGAGCAACATATACTGACTGACTGGTCTTTGAACCAGTCCTCCTAACCAGTCTTTATTTCCAAATTGGTAAAACAAACATTTTTTTCCTTTGGATTTTCAAAAAAAAATTTCCCAAGGAATTTAATATTAATATTTGGACATTATCCAAGAAAAGTGATACAAGAATCTAGCGTTGTCATGACCATTGTATATGTAATTTTAATAAAAGTTTGATAATAAATAAAATATTCTCTAAAAACTTACTATGGCCTTGTTTTGGTTGCAATATAAAAATTGTTAGATTCCTTGATAAATCATAATAATAATTGTGGACCATTAAGTGAAAAGCTTGGATATTACAAAGGAAATAAATTTATAGTCTTTTGTAAATACAATTTATAATATATCCAAAACGTCATTGAACTGACTTTTAACTGGTCTTTTAACTTGTTTAATGGTTCAGATACCACATTTAAAGACTTGGCCAGACTAGTACAACCCTACATTAAGGATTTTTTGTCATATAAATAAATCCTTAATGTAAATAGGGTGAGGAAGGTATTTGCTTCCAAGAAATTTTTGTTGTATGGTAGTTACAAATTTACAATTTAGAGTTATAAACTCTACATCCGGCAGTAGATTTCTCCCCCCCCAAAAAATGGCAACAGGATATAATTCATGGTTGATGGATTTACTAGTGATGCAATCTGCAAATATCCGTCATCCATTCATCCATCATTTACCTCTAAAAATTAATCCGTCATCCAGCAATTTCTCAAAAAATACATCCGTCGGGTTGAGCGGATAATCCATAGAATCTGTAGAATTGAAACAGATGATTCGGATGATCCACAGATTGAACGTATAATCCAACGAATGATATTAGATTAGTAATTCATTTATATTTATTATGTTCGAATTGAAATTAACTCAGTGGACGAATAGATTTAACACAACCTGCGCTTCTTTTTAAAAACAGCATTTATTTAAATAATTTCTAGATCTAGACATTATCTCTTAGCAGTTAATAAATTCACTGCATGACTGAATGATCTTTCACTTGGTGTTAAAGTTGCTCAGACAGAAAGGTATTGGCGAGCAAATTTTGCAAGAAGAGAGTAATTGGGTTTTTTATAATTCCACTAATCAAAAGGACAGAATTAAATTCAATCCCACCTTCTTTTAAATATCCACTTACTTCATCTGAAGATAGATTTTGACTTGATGTATTAAAAAGTGTAAATGTTCCAACTAGATGAAAATGATGAAAATAAAAATGATTATTTTAACGTTACAAAATACATAATGTTTACAGCATTTTAAAAAGGCTATCCATCAATCCGAATATGAATGAATTTTTTTATGGATATCATCCAAGGATCGCATCTTTAGCATTTACTAAAAAAAGATAATTGGTCTTTTTAGAACTTGTATCCTTCATAGATGTTGAACTATAGGTAGCTACATGCCACATAAATATGACAACACTTTTATCTATCCTTTTAATTTGAAAACTCATTATAAATACATCACAAACCTCCCACTTATTTGGTGTCTTTCCAGTGAACAACTCGGAAATTTCAGTTCCCTGAACGAAACATTATAAGACTAATCTTCAGAACAAATGTTGTCTTTGACATTCATACACAAATAAGCAAGAAACAAAGCTACACACTTACCTTCACTTATTGAGGTTTCTATTAAAGAATATGTTTGAAATTCAGTTAACATGCTTTGGATTAGTTAAAGAAAACAAAGAAAATTCTAATAACCATAATATATTTTAAGATTAATACATTTTATATTTAGGCTGAAATGAGAAATTGTGAAGGTTATAAATTTTAAGTAAATTTTTCATGCAGAAGTAAAGAACCTGTTTTATAATTTAAATTTTCATTAATAGAAACAATATCTAACACAAATTTTAGACTAAAAATTACAATATAAATGTTTTCTCAATGGAAGAGAGGAGAGCATATGATAGAATGTCTGACACAGACAGTAATAATCAATTCTAATTAAACATTGAAATAATGGTCCAACAATTACAAACTTAGCATAGACTTTTATCTACTTATTTTTCATTGGTAGAAAGCATTTAATAACAAAGATTTCATTATTGTAAAACTATTCATGTTAGTGATTTCTTGATGAAACAATTGGATGGCTGAGATTGTTAGATGAACAAATATTAAACATTGATGAAAATTTTCCTATGCTCTGAAAAAAACCAAGACAGGTGGTGGAATCTTGAGCAATTAATAGATCAGTTAGATAAAATTAATATTTTTGGCCACACTTTTTACTTTTTGATCTATTTAGATTGTCAATCGTGCAATTCCTATTTTTTGAATTGACACGCCCAGAAAGGGTTGCTGTATTTGCATTTGATTCATGCCATACAAAAAGGTAGCATTAATGAAAATTATTTTAATTAATTCAACAATTTTTAATTCGTAATCCTTTTAAGGAAACATGATCATTTTCATAAAATGTGAAAGGCAGATCATTAACATTCTCGTAGAAAAAATTTATAAGAAAAAAATGAAAAGGAGAAATTATTATGTAATGTAATCATAATCACAATTATAATTAATATTATTTCCTTAATAGGCAAATGATCACAGATATTGTCTCTTTAATGCTTGATCGCCTAAATTTCCATGTTTTTCATCAATTTTTATATAACGTTCTTCCACGTTCCTTGCTTGTATGAATACAATGGTGGAGAAGAAGGCAAATAAGTCGATTATCATGAAGCCAAATAAAGTTGTGAATAGTTGACGTGCTGATTTGTCAGCTTTCTGTGTTATACTATCAACACAACCAATTTTACTTTTAATAACCAACTTATTTGGACATGCAGTTGAAACCACCGCTAAATTTGTTGAATTAAAATATCCACAACAATCTAACTATTAAAAAATATTCATTTATTTATTAATAAATAAACTTTAATAATTACAAATGTATGCATGTATCTAATGCAATATAAAGTACCTCATCTTGGAAAAAAGCTCGTGTATTTGGATCCCAACTTCTCCATTTGTCGTCAAAATGTTTTCTTTCATCCAAAGTTTTAAACCAAACATTTGCACCCATTGCCAATAGGGCAAAAATGGATAGAACAATTAAAAATATATGTGCGTATAAAAATCGTTTACGTTTTAATGGATTAAAGAAACCAACACTAGCAGTAAAAAATGAAATTATAATAAGACCTCCAACACAAAATGCAGCTATAATAATTAATTTAATAATGGGTGAAAATTTAATAATGATAATAAATATGATGATATTGTTATTGTTATTAAAATGTACAAAAAAAATTTTTTCCTTTACCTATGAGTAAATTTTTCGTTATTACAAGACTACGCATACCCGTTCCAACTGTGTTAAACCATAGAGCACCAAGTATAATGATAATAAGACCTTTTGAAAAATATAATGATTCTATCACGGCGAAAGAGGTTAAAATTGGTTTGCTGATAGCCCTGTATGGTCCACCTCCAATAATCATCATTTTACGTTATAAGATTTTTTACAAAATATCAAATAAACTATATGGGTGATGTGGAATGCGAGTGTGAAATGGCAAACGTTTGTATTTAATAGATGAAATGAATGTTAATGTGAAAATAATGAAAATGTTAAAAGAAAGTACAATATATAAAAAAAAAAAAGGATCAAAAATTTTTCTTTGATGACCAACAACATGATTAAATCTAATTAAAAAAGGAAAGATTTCTTTGAAAGAATAAAGAGAAAAAATAAATAATTGATTGACCAAAAAAGGAAAACATAAAGTATTAAATATGCTATATACTTACTGTATTAGTATTATTGTTTCCCTATTCCTTGTTACACGATCAAAATCAATAATATTTGAACCGTCATAATATATAAACTCTATCCCAAAAGTTAATGCCATTTATACGCATTTTTACCACAGCAGTGTGTAAATTTAATTTTACTGTTTATCTTTTTTATTTTTATCATTTCTATCTGGCTAAAGAAAAGTTGTCACCTTCTTTTAAAAAATTATATTTATTTTCTCCCTCTTTTTTTTCATTGTATATATCAGCCTATAAGGCCTATAAGGGGGGTTATTACATCCAGGCATATGAGATTTTTTGGTTTTGGCATGGTTATAGATACGATTAGGATTTTTGTTTTGACCCCTTGTTTTATTATTATTATTAATTAAAAAATTAAAAATTCTCATTTCAACAGATTTTACATTTAAATCGCGCTTCAATAGACAACGAATTATTTTAGTAATAAATATTAACCGCGTTACAACGGATTCACACGATATACAGATCCCAAAAATTAAACCCACATTATTAAATAATATTAATCATATTTCTAAATGATGATTTTACACCGATAATTCTTCAAATAAGATTATCTAAAAAACAACCTTACATTAAAGATTCAATCAACTCTTTTCTAAATGCATATATAAAGGGAAAATTTTCTTTATTGAATTTTTTAAAATTGATAATAAATAAATATCTTCTAACAATTGATAATTTCTTGAATTTCTTTGATTTCTACAAAATTATAAAATGTCTCAACAACTATCTATCTTCTTCTTCCAAAAAACGTATATATATTACCGTTGAACAAAAACGCGAACTATATTTATTGAAACAAACCAAACCTCGATCGAAGAATATTGAATGAGCACAAAAATATAACATTAGCAAAGCCAAGTTAGTAATATATTGAAAGAGTCTAATAGATGACTTGAGATTCTTATCAAGCAAATTATTTTTTTTATTATTCCTGTTGATCGATCATTATCTCGTTTCAACGGATCTAGGTAACCAGTCCCTTATATCTGTTAAAACGAGGTTTGGCTATAAATGGATTAGGTTCATGATTTTTATTTTGAATTTAAAAATGAAATCTGTGTGAATTTGCAATTCACACATATATGAAATTCAAACACCCCACCCCAAAAATTTAATTATAGACTTCAATTTCATAGTGGAAATTTGTACTTTTTATATAAAAAAATTAGTGTAACATTTCAAATTTCCCACTATAGTTCAATTTCAACATACAACATATTTAAAGATTTTTATATATACATGTGAATTAAAAACGAATAATTATCGTATTAAATAATTTTCCTTGTACACAGGGTGCGAAATGTGTGATCAAAAATATCGGGGGAATGCCCGGTTTGGGAAAATTTTATCGGAAATCTTAAAAAAGTATCAGACCAAAAAAATTTTCTTAAAGTAGTGGTATGATTTCTATTCAAATAAGGTTTATTCAAATTACATTGAAAGTTTGAATAAAACGATTTGAATAAAATAATATATTCATATTGTTGATCCAATTGAAATATTTTTTCTTTGACAATCTATTTTCCTTCATAGTCCTTGTATATTGTGGTAATAATAATTATTATCGGGCAAACAGCTTCCTTTACTTCCCGAGCCAGCAACTAAAATTTTGTAATTTGCTATTAATATTTGTTAATGCAAATCATTTATTATAAATAGCAAGAATACTTACGGCCCACTTTATCACACATTCATAAAAGAATACAAAGTCCGCCATCTCAGTGAAGTCACGTGAGAGGTTCGCATTATCCACTTCATTCAAAAAGAACTTTCTTTCTAAGATTAGAATACCATTAGTCAATAAAATGTTATAATATAGACAATAATATAAATCAAACATACATGACTTACCACAATAGTTTAAAAATTGTAGGTGAATTCTAAGGCGGAAACTTTGCCCACCAAAAATAGCAAGCGTTTTGGGAAATCGTTGTCTACATTTTATGTTATCTTTTATTATATTTATAAAAATGTTTTGAAGATTGTAGGATATTTTTGAGACATCTGAAATTTCTTTGTCATCATTAGCGTTTGGCTTCAATCCTTCCATATAAACTAGCTGAAATTTATCAGCTGTGTTTAGATACCCAATACCGTCAGCATATCCACGTTTTATATGATTTTTTGATCTGATTTCTCCAAATTCATAGCATATTGCTGAAATATACCAAAGCGATGCCTGTAGACACGGGTGGACAAAAGAGTTTAAGTGTGGTCTTTCTAATGCACCTAAGTTAAGTAGTGGATTTCAAGCTCCCATAGAAAACGCCATGATGCTACAAAATTTTGAGTAAACATATTGTTAATATGACACCTATGAGTGAACACAAAAGCGTTTGTACTTGGTACTTACAATGAAGGTAATGTTCTGCGCAAAATTCGTATAACAGATACCATTAACCAATCACTTTGATCCAGGGTTGGCAAATGTGCAGTCCATTGATGGTCTATTGGTGGTCCATTGGGTCCATTAGTGTAACACTTTGACCATATTTAGTATTTTATTAATTGCAATGGACCAGTCCAAAATCCATCTTTCTCAATGGACCAGTCAATTTGCCAACCCTGCTTTGATCTAAACAACATATATCATCAATCTTGATGTGCCATTCCTCGCTGGTCAAATCTTGCTGAAAAAACTCTATCAGGAATTTGTGAATATTAGGTGGAATTAAATTCTCAATTTTGTTGTCAAAATCTTTAAAATATGGTTCCAAAATTTTGAAAGGAAGTTTCTTGAAATAGTTTGAATTAGGCCGTAAGTCTATTAAATTTTCATCAGGATATAGTGTATTATGGTGTTGGAAAATGAATTTCATATTTTCTGAACATTGAAGATTACTGCCAAGCAGTTCTTTTAACGATTTCTGATCTGATTCCTACAGAAAGAAATAAATTTATCAATATATTTCCTAATATTATACATTATAGATAAGAATTTATACACTACAACAACCACATCTGTTTTGGTGGTACTTGGACCTACTGAAGGTGTCTGCTAATGGATTAGTAGCAATATTAAAATAATGCAATTAATTTTCAAATATAAAGCATACACCACAAATATTATTAAACAATTATTTTTTTTTACCTCATTATCTTGAATATCTTCTTCATTCTTCTCACTGTTTTCAAGATTCTCTCGAGTATCTGATTTATCATCTATTTGATAAGACTCAAAATCTGTTATTAAATTCATAAAAGACTCTGATTTTTGACTAGTTAATCGCTGTCTTTTTTTTTTATTTAGATCATTAAAATCATTCTAAAGTATTGAAACATAAAATTAGTTCAATCCAATGTCAGTGAATATATTCTCAACTGAATTACCTCTTCTTCAATCTTTGATTCTTTTTTACGTTTTTCTGGCTTGTTATCCAATATCCATTCTTCAGCATGCCCTATTTCTTCTCGCATAGCAACACTTTGTATTTCACACTAACAATATTCAAGAAGAATTAGTAAATATCATATTATATTAAATATATAATAAATGTCAAAAACAATACATACTTTGTTTATTTGGTCAGAAATTGCAAGCGATTTCAATTTCTCAATATGATTTTTCCATATCAAGTTGTTGGCAAAATCATTATCACATTTCTTGGTAAAAAAGTGAAAAAGAGTTAATCAAAATCTTTATATAACCTAACTGATTGCCCGCACATACTATGATGGGACCCAAAGACCCAGATCATAATATGCTTCCCCATTTCAGGCAAGAACACGACTTGCCTTGTATGACAAATCATTCAGAACACAACTGCAGGGTATAGGCAAAATAGCAAATAATAATGGTGCCACCAATGCATAATATAATGGGACCTAAAAAAGTCCAGACTATAATACACTTCCCACTTCAGACAACAACACGAGTTGCCTTGTGCAAATAAATTGCTCAGAACACAACTGCAGGGCACGGTAATATGCACCTATAACAAAAAGAAGTACTGACCTCCAAGGCCTTTTTCAAGGCATTTGCTTTGGTAAAATGATGACTCAATTTTGATAGATTGCTAAGGAGGATGTCAAGTTCAATACTCAGGGATCTATGTGCTTCTTCTTTACTGCATCCAGGTATCTGATCAATAAAATAAATATCCCAGTTGCTTAAACTACCCAGGTATTTGGACTTCAACCCCAGTATGCTAGGAAGGGAAGGAAAGTTATTAAAAAGTACACCTAATGATCATATAAAATTTAGACACAAGCTTACTTGGATGCTGAAGATTCAAGCTTTTAATTTCTTTAACAGTAATGGGAGATTTTGCTATTGACATTAAAAATTTTTTACATGTCAAATCAAAAATATATTTGTAATACACATATATGGGAGTTGGACTAGGAAAATCGACCCCTCAGCTAAATTTGTTTTTTTGAGTAATCATTGATCAAAATTCAACCAATAAAATTTGTTACTATTTATAGATTTTTTTTTGTGCACAAAAATTTTTCAAAAAAAAATTTTATTAGTTATTATTATCATTGTAATACTATTTACATAATAAATGAATAGCTTTGTCATTATACAGAAACCAATCTGTAAACATTGTTGGTGATATTGAAAATATTGTTATTAATTCAACTAAAGGTAATGAA